AAGAATGCATAATTTTTCAAATAGAAAAAAAAGCATTTTGTTGTTTTCTCATCTTTATGATTGTTTTCTCCTATTATTATTTAATTCATGTAATTTTATAAAAGTGAATCAGTAGCTTTGTCTGGATCCCTCTTCTCAAAGCCTGCCCAACTTACTGGACTCCCCGTCCCCAAACTGGGCCTTAAGAATGGGTATATTAACATAACAAGTAAAATTGTATTTCTAGGGTGCTAAGTATTAGACCTTCTTAATTGTTGTTTCTAGAGGAACTATTTTTCTCCTTTATGTGATTCCCTGCTTCCTGTATGTGACATTTAAAAATGCCCCTTCACGGTCACTAATAGATCACCATGGCTCGGCACCACGTCCCGGCAGCGCAGAACAGCCATCACTGCTGTGCTTGTGGAAAGCCACGTAGCAAACTGCAGGCGGGTCGCTGAGTTCTGGACCCAGGATTTGAATGACTGTGCTATCACTTGCTTGGCGGGAATTACTTCTTACTCAGAACATGAGTGGAGTATTTTATAACGATGTTGAAGATAACACCAACTGTGGATTAACCGGGTGACTCACTACCTGGATCCCTCTGATCTCCCTGCAAGAAGAGGTGGATGAGAAAGTAGGTGTGAGGCTAGCCCAGGCGCAAGCCTAGCCTAGGGCTGCCCCAGCCAACCTGGCCCGCTGGGGCAGTGGCCCCCTCCTCCCCTCCACTCCATGTGCTTTTCTCCAAAAGGCACAGCCTTTGCAGCCAGAAGCCCTTGCCGAGACCCCTCAGGGGTTATGCTTCCCCAGCAGAGGGGCCCACAGGCTCTTAGGGTCCATCTCTGGGCCAGGAGGCCTTTTGTTCCCCTATCTCCAAGGGCTGGATCATCACACAACTAGGCAAGCTATGACAAGTACAGGAGATTTTCTTAATGCATCGCCTGGCTACTATATTAACTGTGCGTGTGTGTGAACAACTAAATATAGTGGGTTTTCTTTATCTCCTGGTTCCATTTTTATACCCAGTTCTTGAAAAGACTTTTTACTCATTCTTAGTTCAGAAAAGAATTAGGCCCACTTTGCAGTTCAGCTGTTTTCAATTATGTTACTCCACCCACTCTCTGTTTTTCTGGGCATTCGTTTACCCACTGAAGGATTTATAAAGCAGCCCTCTGCTCTTTCCCAGCCGCTCCGGTCACACTGCCTCCACACACCTAATAAGGACCTCAGGGAGCTTGCTAGTTCTGCATCAGAGACTGTGCCAAGTGGAACATAAGCCCCTCTTCTTTCCCACCTACCCCCATTCCCAAACATTTGTTGGTATATGAATATCAGCCCACAGATGATATTTTGCAGGAATCAAGATGTTTCTTCATATCTTTAAATCAGCTTAAATCTGCCCTGAGCCCTCCTCCATCACGGCTGGAGGGAAATACAATTTCAATCATTATTGGGACTCCCTACGTTCAGGACCTGGGCAAAGGAACTTAACATATTGCTCAAGGATACAAGTTCGTCCCTCTGGCCATGGACCACGGTTTCCTTGCAGGCTGCTGCTGTGATGCGTGTTGTTTCAGTCCAGCTGGGGCCATCAGCCCCAGAAGCCATCCTCAGGTTCACCCTGGAACCAGGGAAGGAGGCCCTTTGGCCGAGGGCCATCTTCTTCCCAGATGCTGTCCACTATCATCCTTGGGTCTATTCTCTCCCCAGGCTTCTGTTGAGGAGCAGTATGTGAACCCCACATTACAGAGGTGCTAACCCTCATCCTTCACCATTTTGGGAAATCTCTCTTTCCCTTGAAAAGTCACCATCTTGACTCTTTTTCCTCTCTGGGACACCTGGCACAATTTCTTCAGAGGGGTTGAGCATTCACAAAAAGCCGAAAAGGACTTTGATGTCAAGTCTTCTGGTGTGCAAAATCCCTGATGTAAGCAAAGTGTTAGAAGGCTTGAAATGAGATGATGGAAAAATACTGTGAGTCAATTATTTGCTCAAATATTATCCTGTTTGCTCTTTTTTAGATGAATAAACTCTAGTTAAGAGAACCACCTAGGGGAGACCTGGCAGGGAGGAGAAGGCAGTTGTGACACACAGACATCTGTAGCCGGGCCAGGGAGAGGCATGGGAGTTGCTACAGGCAGTGATTTCTCACAATACCCCTGCGCTGAATGTCTCTATGAGGCATCTGGACTCGACTCTTCTCTGCTGCTCCACTAGTATTTCTTCCTTTGTACCTTGCTTGTCTCTTTTTCTTTACTCATTGTGTTTTTCTTCTTTTACTTTCCTTGACGTAACTTCAGGTTGGCCTTACCATACAGTTTGATATTCCTTGTTAAGGTTTCCAGATACCATGAAGGACTGGTTGCTAGTCACTGACCCAGCTTCATAAGGAAAATAGCCCAGAATCCAGTCATTGTAATATTCAGATGACCAGATCAGATTGAATGTGATTAGAAGGTTGAGCAATCACCCTGCAAGTGTTTGAGCCAGTTTAATGCATAACTGTCTCCTTAATTATGGAGTCAAATGTCTCATGCTGTTTCCATGATTGCTATCTTCTTGCCTTCTTTCAACTTGTAGCAAAAGGGAATTTCTGGGCCATTGTTTTCCATTTCACTTGTTTTCCATTTTTATGCCAGTAAAATATTTATAAATGTTTAAGTTTGTGAAAGCTGTTTGGTGGTTTCGTTTGCTAAGTCGTGTGTGACTCTGTTTATTGTATTTCTTTTATCTACCTTTGTTGTAGAACATCTGCTATCTTTCATATGCTCATTACAAAAAAAAGTTTTTGAGTTAAATGTACCATAAGCTTATACAATTTTGCAGTACATGATTTCCTGTGTACTTTTTCCTATCAAAAAGTGCTTTTCACTTCTTCAGTCCACATTTTTTATTCTATGAAACAGAGGTCAACACATTATTTCCTGTGGGCCAAATCTAGGCCATGGCTCTAGTTTTGTAAATAATATTTTGCTGGAAGACAGCCATGCCTGTTCTTTTAAGTACTGTCTATGGCTGCTTTCATGTTGGAGTGCCAGAGCTGGGTATTCATGATGAAGGCTGTCTGACATGCAAAGCCTAAACTATTACTACCTATATTTTTCCAGAAAATGATTGTTCATCCTAGCTATGGTACAATAACCAAAAATTCTTTCCATTGCAGAATCTTAGGATTTCAGAGGTGGAAAAGGTATGAGCCTAAGAATTGCACTTTACAGAAGATAAACAGGCCCATCCAAGAGTCAGCTTTTACTGAATGCTATTATGTGCCAAGCACTGTGTCTTAGGAAAGACTATCTCATTGTCTACAACCAGTGCTATTATTTCTGGAAGAAAGACTTTAGAGTCTAAGAAGAAAGTCGTTGCAACATTCAGCCTCTAAGTGAAGAAATTTCCTGGAAATCCCATAGAAAGTAAATGTCAAAACTAAAGCTAGTGCCTGGTTTCCTGTTCTCCCATGGCGTCTATTAAAAGTAAAGATGTTTATTGACCTTTGTGTTCTGTGACCCAGGGAAGAAGAGGTCTTCTTCGCATGTCTTTTCTAAATCTTGACTGAAAATATACTGCCCATTGGCTGGGGTAAGACATCTGCTCTACCATGCCTGGCATCAGTTTTTTCTTGAGGGAGTCACACAACCATGGCTCTGTTCCTTGAGAATTTGCTTGAAGCTTGACTTAACCTGTTTAAAATCTGCGGAAAGTGGAAGTGGACTACCTATTAGAGCCCCCTCTATTCCCATGAGGCAGGCATCCTGGTGGCTCAGATGGTAAAAGAATCTGCCTGCAATGCAGGAGACCTGGGTTCGATCCTTGGGTTGGGATGATCCCCTGGAGAAGGGTATGGCAACCCACTCCAGTATTCTTGCCTGGAAAATTCCATGGACAGAGGAGCCTGGAGGACTACAGTCTATGGAGTCGCAAAGAGTAGGACTCTTTCTCATCAAGTCAACTTGTGGCTTAGCCTTCCCTGTGTACAAAAAGTAGAACAGGAACTACCCTGTGAGGTCATAAAAATTCATAACTAACGTTTCCAACAGAATGTTGGCAACAGACTGTAAGAATGGCTGAGTCCACATTAAATTAAGCTTTCATTGAGACACTAATACTTGCAGCTTCATGATCACTGGGGCTCTACATAGTCAGGATCCCCAGGGCCTCAACACGAGGGCCTGGTCCCACTGCCTTAGGAACATATACTTCTCAATTTTTAGTCAATCTCACCTTTGTGTATTAACACCTCAGTATTGATAAGTTTGTTCTCTCTTCAGGTTTCTGATATTGTCCTTCCTAAATATTTTTCCTGAAATGAAGGCCTTCCCAGGCCTAAATTCAGGCTTCTAACTACTAGAGAAAGTCCCCCCAACTGGGCAGATGATAGTCTCCAGAGAAATATGGTCCTCATCTTCAGCCGGGAGCTTGGAGTGGAACAGCCTGTCAATCTGCTTTGTTTCCCTAGTCAACTCATGTTCCGATTTTCCCCTCAAAACTCCCCCCAAACTTCTGACTCCCTTACCTATCTCATCAAATTGGAACTTGCCAAATTTCTTACACTGACTTGCCCTCACATTCCTTTCCTTTTTTTAAAAATTATTTTTTTATTGGAGTGTAGTTGCTTTACAGTGTTTCTGCTGAATGGCAAAGTGAATCAGCTATACATATATATATCCCCTCTTTTTTGGATTTTCTTCCCATTTTGGGGATTTTCTTCCCATTTAGTTCTCCACAGAGCATTGAGTAGAGTTCCCTGAGCTAGACAGCAGGCTCTCAGTAGTTATCTACTTTATGCATAGTATCATTAGTGTACATATGTCAATCCCAGTATGTCCCAGTTCATCACACTCTGCCCCTTTCCCCCCTTGGTGTTCATACATTGGTTTTCTCTTTCACTGCAGCACTGTTTACAATAGCCAGGACACGGCTAAATGTCCATCAACAGAGGAATGGATAAAGAAGTGGTGAGACATATACACGTGGAATATTACTCAGCCATAAAATAGAATGAAACTGCATCATTTGTAGAGATGTGGATGGACTTAGACAGCATCATAGAGTGAAGTAAGTCAGAAAGAGAAAAACAAATGTTGTATATCAACACATTTTATGTGGTCTAGAAAAATGATACAGATGATCTTATTCCCATCTCTTTCCTGCTTTGCACCTTGCATTTGAAAAGGAGACCCTCCTCCTATGAAAGGTCAGATGTTCCATAGGTTTTATCTTTCACATCATGTCTCAGCATCTCAGAGAACTTACAGTGACCATTTCCCCAACCTCAGTTCACCCGAGCAGCAACCTAGCATGTCAATTTGTAAGAAGTGGAAAAACATCCCTGGAGTAAGTTGCTGTAGTTAATACCATATCAGTTAATCCAGGTTTCCATGTATTGTAATCATAAAGTATAAATTGGTTTTCTTCCTACTGAATAGAAATTGAAACCAAACAAAATAAAACAAGCAAATTTTCCTCCAAGTGTGAGCACCACAGATGAACTTTTTTCTTGTGATCTTACATTTTGCAGGATGTTGCCACCAACACTGAAATCTGTCAACTGACTATCACTTGGAGTCAGATGAACTGCTTATACCACATACAGGGGAAAAGCATAAATGTGTGTTTGACTTCCATGAAATTAATGATAAATGAGCTACTAAAGAGAGAGAAAGATGAAAATTGAGAGCTGAGAAAATCACAATTTAAATATTATGAGCAGTTCTGCATGCCACTCTCTTCATTGCTCACATGACCTGCACCAGTATCGTCCAGGAGGAATAAATGAGTCCCTGAAGTGTGTACTGCACCCACCTTTATCATCTCACATCTCATCCCACAGACAGTGAACTCATCTTTGTTGTCGGCATCAGTCATCATGGTGATCAACGTTATTACTATCAGAGCCGGGCAAGAATACCCAGGATGCATGGTGAGTATTCAACATCATTATCTCTCCTGCTTTGTTAAATGCAGGAGAAAATCCTTCTTCTTATCTTGGTATCCCATAATTTAATACCCTGTAGGATTATATTTTGCATGTTTACACTGTGTTATATCCCCTACATTATTGTGTGTTTTATCTTAGAGGAACTTTTATGCCAAACCACGTATATTCTATTCTATGTTCAATTTAAGAAATTCTCTAGAAGTACTTTGAAAAAACATGATTATCACTTTCCTCTCTGATTTTACAACTTAACCCCCAATATTTGCTGTGATTGCCTACAGCACAGAAAGTAATATTGTTTTTCAAGAGAGAGTGATTTATTACCTAATAATTGTACCTAAAGATGTTACCTTATTTTTTCAAAATTACAGTAGAAAGCAAGAACTAGAGAATAACTGGGAAACTTTTTGTCAACATAAAATCCAGAAGAAAGAACTCTAAAACATATTTTAAAGAAAATCTGTAGCTAACATATTTATTTCCATCCTTAGAGAGTTGGAGTGACCTAATAACCCTTATTCTAATCCTATCCCAACCCTAATACTCTATCAAGTCTAAAAGGCAAGAAAAGAATAGACATAATAAATTATGTAAAAAGTTTAATCCTATATTAATAGATGTCATAAGAAAAAAATAGATGTTTAAGAAAAAGACATCATAAACAAAATCAATAAATGAAAGATCAGGAAACATATTTGCAATATAGCCCCCAAAATTTAGCATATGTAATTGTATTAGTTATCTAATTCTGCAAAATAAATAACCCCCAAGCTTAGCAGCTTAAAACAATACATATTTGTTACTCACAGTTTCTGTGGATCAGGAAGTGAAAGCGAAAGTCACTCTGTCATGTCCGACTCTTTGCAACCCCATAGACTATATAAGTCCTTGGAATTCTCCAGGCAAGAATACTGGAGTGGGTAGCCGTCCCCTTCTCCAGGGGATCTTTCCAACCCAGGGATTGAACCCAGGTCTCCTGCATTGCAGGGGGGATTCTTTACCAGCTGAGCCACAAGGGAAGCCCAAGAATACTGGAATGCGTAGCCTATCCCTTCTCCAGTGGATCTTCCTGACCCAGGAATCAAACCATGGTCTCCTGTGTTGCAGGTAGATTCTTTACCAGCTGAGCTATCAGGGAAGCCCATGGGTCAGGAATCCAGGTACAAATGAACTGTGTCCTTGGCTTTAGGTTCCCTCACAAGATTGCAGTCAAGATGTTAGCCAGACTGCAGTCTCATTTGAAGGCTTGAATGGGGAGGAATCTGCTGCCAAACTTATATTAATGTTTGCAGCATTAATTTCCTTGAGGAATATTGGAATAAGGGCCTCAGCTTCTCATGGGTCTTTGGCTGGAGGCCACCTTAGTTCCATGCCAGGTGGCCCCCTCTATCAGAGAAAGCACATGAGAGGAACCACAGAAAGAGTATGAGCAAAATGGAAGTCATGGTCTCTGTGACGTAGTCACAGAAGTGGTATCCTGTCACTTTTGCTATATACTAATCTTTAGAAGTAAATCACTAGATACAGCCACTCTCAGAGGAGGGGATTACATAACAGCATGAATACTAGCATGCAAAGTCATTGGGATCCTTTCTGGAAGGCTGCCTTCTACAGTAATATACAAATCGCTTTTACATACTAGTTAGAAAAAGACAACGGAATTTAAATGTGAACAAAGGATAGAAATAGGCAATTCACTAAAGAGGAAGTCTATAGTAGACTTCTACTATATATGTAGAAGTTCTACTTCTACAACTATAATAGTTGTGAAAATGCAAATTAAAATGGCAGTGAAAGATTCACATTAATTCTCAGATAAGACTCAGATAAATGTATAAAGATGCATTGCTAATGAAAATATGAATTCTACAGCCTTTTGGAAAGCAACTTGTTAATATCAATTAAAGTCAGAAATATATATTTCCTTTGACTTGGAAATCTAATACATTAAATTAAAATCAAGAATTCACACACACACACACACACACACACACACTACACACAAACTATACACATACATGTTCACTGTAGTATTATCTTGGTACAAAAAAACTGGAAACAAAATGGATAGCCTTTGACAGGTAGCGTAAAATAGAGAGGGATATGTGTATATGTAATATCATGCAGCCATCAAAAAGGATGAATTAGAGGAAGAGAATGAATGCCCACCCCTCAAAAAAGGGAGATAAAAAAAGAAAGGAACAAAAAGCAAATAAAGATGGTAAAAAAAGGGTAACTATGAGAATAGCATGCATTTATATAACATTATATTTATTTGTGGTTATGTGAACAAAGAAAATAGATATAAGTTTTAATGCATAAGTTCTGTGTTAAGTGGAAGAATTTCCATTATACATTTAAAATATGAGACTACTTTAAATATTGACTGATAACATATAGTACACATATAATGATATAAGCCTAATAACATATGGGAAGTTTTTAACATACAGCAAGTTTTTAACATCAGTTACCTGGGCTGAGTTTATTAGAGGAAATGGTGAAAGAAGAGGATAAAGAGGAAGCTGTGCAATAAAACAAAAACAAATCTTTATTTACACCTATAAGTGAATATGATAAGCAGGTATAATCTTATCTCATTATATACTGAGCTAAATATATATTGGGCTTCCCTGGTGGCTCAGAGAGTAAAGAGTCTGCCTGAAATGTGGGAGACCCAGGTTCGATCCCTGGGTTGGGAAGATCCCCTGGAGAAGAAAATGGCAACCAACTCCAGTATTCCTGCCTGGAGAATCCCAATGGACAAAGGAGCCTGGCAGACTACAGACCATGGGGTTGGGAAGAGTCGAACACGACTGAGCGACTTCACTATCTTTTCAAATATATGTGTATATTTGTACATATAGAAGTACAAGAAAGTCACTGGAATATTCATAGTGGTTGTCTTAAGATTGAGTCCAATAATTTTTTATTTTCTTTCTCATAGCTTTATATATTAACTTTTTAAAAGAGCCTGTATTATTTATGTAATTGGAATGAAAATATATATTGGGCTTCCCTGGTGGCTCAGAGAGTAAAGAGTCTGCCTGCAATGTGGGAGACCCAGGTTCGATCCCTGGGTTGGGAAGATCCCCTGGAGAAGAAAATGGCAACCAACTCCAGTATTCCTGCCTGGAGAATCCCAATGGACAAAGGAGCCTGGCAGACTACAGACCATGGGGTTGGGAAGAGTCGGACACGACTGAGCGACTTCACTATCTTTTCAAATATATGTGTATATTTGTACATATAGAAGTACAAGAAAGTCACTGGAGTATTCATAGTGGTTGTCTTAAGATTGAGTCCAATAATTTTTTATTTTCTTTCTCATAGCTTTATATATTAACTTTTTAAAAGAGCCTGTATTATTTATGTAATTGGAATGAAGTGAAATTTATAAATATCTACTTGCACACATATGAATACACACATGGGTTATATATAAATACAAGCTCTGTGAATGAGATGAATTGACCAGCAAGATTTCTGTTCAGAGGAAAGGAGAAAGGGCATTTTATGTCAAAGACACAGTATAAAGAGAGATGTTGACTCAGAAAAGCAATAAATCACGTGAAGGGGAAACAAAATATCTGATTGGCTCATACCGACCAGGAAAGAAAGTAGTAAGATTCTATGTGTAGGCTGGAACCAAATTAGGAAGGACTTTGAAGACAGTTCAGACTTTATCTATTAATAGTAAGCAGTGGGGAGCAGCATTTGAGTTTAGGGTGATATGATAAAAATCTGTTGGAAGATGAATCTGGCCCTGGTGTTCTGGACAGAATGGTAAAGAGTGGCCCAGAGAAGGAGTGCTACTGAGGTTAATTATATAGACCCAGCATGAAGCAGTGAGAGCCGGAAGTGGGTTGTGTCCGGGGAAGAAAGTGACATACTCGGCACTACAAAAAGTGGCTTAATGATGGGTTCCTGGCAAGGAGATTTTGAGGATAAAAGCATCTACAAGCATCAATTACACCAACACACAGCCCTTGTTCTTTTGCTTGCGTAACGGAAGATGTGCTGACGTTTGTGAAATAAATAAGCATAGCACATTTTGTATACATAAACATTTACTTAAGGACTTATACATTTATTGTCTAGCACTTACCTTTAATTTATAAGAGCTTATACATTTACTGTCTAGCACCAGTGCTTCCCTGGTGGCTGAGATGGTAAAGAATCTGCCTGCAATGCAGGTGATCAGGGTTCCATCCCTGGGTTGGGAAGATCCCCTGGAGAAGGAAATGGCAACCCACTCCAGTATTCTTGAAAAATCTACTTATGTGTTTACATGTTGAAATTAGAGCAGTCTATAAAATTCTGCAATAGCTCATTATGACTGTGAAAATTGTTAATTTTATGTGGAATAATTTTAAGTTGTTTTTTAAAAATAGAAAGCACTTTCTTAAAGCAGTGCACAAAGCCTCAGTTTGTGGCATTGTTTCATCAAAATTATATCTTCTGGTATATGATAAGTTTTTATGTTAGTAAATTACTGCTAAATAGAAAAAATAAAACTAAATCCTCAGTGGCAACATCACTATTAGCAGTCTCTGAGTCTAGCAGAACTGTAAATATTGTTCCTCAATTAACCTAAGTGGAAAGTGACTACTTTCCATTGCAAATTTACAGCATAATGACCATAGAATCAGTCCAGTAACTGACATTACTGGGAAATTATTGATTCTCTAACATAATGTCCAATTAAAAAAAAACTTTGTCAACTAAAAGCTTTGATATCAAAATTATCAAAATAATCAAATTATTGCTGGACTAGAAGCATCCATTTTATGATGAACTGGAGTTTCAAGTAGCCTTAGCTTTGTTGAAATTTGACATGAACGTTGGTCCACAGAACACTGTATCCCACTGATCTAGCTCCTATAATCAGCTAGTAACTGTGAGAACCAGGTTCAAACTCAGTCATTGACCTCTTGTGCTCTTCCCCACTAGGATACTTGCTTCCACCATCCAGGAAAGGGATGGACACAGAGAAAGCCTTAGCTTTCTGGATTATTTGGAGAGTACTGTTTCTCTTATTATCGGTGCCACCTCAAAGCCTCAGCGTCAGTAGTGAGACCATGGCCAATTCGAGTCCCTCAGAAATATAACTTGCATTACCTTCTGAGCAAAAAAGCCTATGTGATATGTCAGTGTTAACTGATTTGGGTCTGAAAGGGAGCTGATCCTGGCTTAGATTCTTATGCAATAACCAACAGTATTATCCAGAATAAACTCTGACTGACCTAAACTAATTTCTTGGAAAGTGTTCTAGGTATTTTCCAAAAAAGACTAGTATAGGAAGTTAGCCAGCTTGGCAGTGTTTATCCAAGAAACCTGCCAAAAGTCTGGCCTGATTTGCCAGTGTCAATATTCTAGAGTGCAAACATATTCTTGTGCAAGGGACATTATGTAAGCTAGAAATTAATCTTAGTTCATTCATTGTCCAAGGATGGATGCTACAGAAAGAAGCTCAAGTAATAGTTCCAGAATCAAAGTATGGGCCTCTCTGGTGAAGTTCTACATAATTGCCTTTACAACAAGGGAGGAAAGCCCTGGGGGAGCTTGTGTGAAACAGTGTTGAAGGCAGTGATGTGGGGGACTGCTGGTGGAAACAAGAGAGGGCTATTTTCTCCTTCATATCTTTTTCCGAACTAGAACTAAATATGTGATCAAAGACCTTTTTGCATTCAGCCAGAGTGGATTTTATTCCAGGTATCCTCTGTCTGTATCACAGGGGCAATGACTAGAATAAAAGTGGATTTGAAAAGGTCAGTCCTAGCCCGGCATTATTAATCAAGAGAATATCTTTATCCCTTAAGACCTCATAATAAGAACTGAATCACAAGTATCAATATGGATGTAAGGATAATACCATACTATTAAGTCATGTCAAGACATGTCATGATGTCAATCAGGATATACCAGGAAGTCACTGTGAAATGTTTAGGATGATAATTTCTCAGTACTGTCAGTTTCTAAACAGTAGAATTGAATCTTCCATGTTACTGGCAATTTGGGCAAGTCATTGACTGGGGCTCAGCTGCCTTACCATCAAGTCAAGGAGATGGGGTGAGGCTGGTCATAAATCCCAGAGTTCTGGATGGATCGCTGAATAAGAGTTTGTCCAGTTTACTTTGTTGACAAAGGCCCCTTCCTACCCATGGCCCTTCCTTCAGGCATTGGAGTAAATAGAGTCCATCTCTGTTTATGGCTCACCCTCAAAACTCAAAGACCAGAGAAGAAAACTGAGAAAAGATGGAAAAATATCTTCCTATGGCCATGGCCTTGTTTCCTTCTGGTCTGGCTCCCTGCCTTTGAGCTCCAAAGAATGTGGGCAAATGTTTGTGCTTGTGATTGATTTAATAGGAATAAAAAATGATGAGACAGTTCAGATTGCTCTTGTTCATCCAGAGATCAGTTTCCAACTGCATTTCTACATTCTCTAATGGAATGGGCCTGCCCAAGAGAGAAGAGAACAAAGAAATGTGTATGGGAGTTGGTCATGATCTCTGTCAAACCAAGACCACCCAGTGGACTCATGGAAGGACAGAAGCCAGGCAAGGCCACAGGATAGTATTGCAGAGAATGTCTACTGAGACGTAAGTAATGCTACTCCCAGGATCTCGTTTCTCCAAACACCCCATCTCTTGTAATACCAGAAACTCTCTTCCCTTCATTTATTGTATTTCTGCAGCTTCTTCTGAAACTGATTGCTTATTCCTTTTCAATTTTGTATCTTGTTATGGGTCATTTCTCTTACACTAGAGATGCTAAAGCCTGCAGATTCTGCCGGAAAGTGACTCATAGATCTCATTTGTGTTAAAAATTTAAAACCTCATGGAATTTGGGCCAAACACAAAATGTTAGGATGTTTTAAATTGTATGAAAATGTAGATAAAAGACTTTAAGTGAATAGAATAGTGACTAAAGAAATTAGTGCTAGTAATAGCTCTCACGTATTGAGGACCAACTATGTACTTAAAGGTACCAATGGCCAAGTTTCATTAGAACAGTATCTGTTAAAAGATAAAAAGATGGTCTTCAAAGCCAATGGCTGGATCTGTCCCAAGTGGATTCTGTAAGTTATCTAAGAAACTCAGGAACCTATTTTTGTGTGTATGTGAGCCTTGACACTGGCACTGGAAATGGAATCATAAGGGTTTTGAATCTATCAAAAAGTGGTAGTGGTGGCTGGTTGATAGTGAGCCCTGGTGACCACTATGGTATGGAGGATCTCAGAGGGGAGAGTTGGTCCAGTTCTGCCCCATGACCTGTGGGTTTTCATGGCTCTCAACTTCATAGCAAGGACTGGGCTTGAGAGTCCAGAGTCAGCTAAGTCAGAGTTGGTGAATAATTACATAATAACACGGGCTTCCCTGGTGACTCAGAGGTTAAAGCGTCTGCCTCCAATGCGGGAGACCCAGGTTCGATCCCTGGGTTGTGAAGATCCCCTGGAGAAGGAAATGGTAACCCACTCCAGTATTCTTGCCTGGAGAATCCCATGGACAGAGGAACCTGGTAGGCTACAGTCCATGGGGTCGCAGAGAGTCAGACACGACTGAGCAGCTTCACTTTCACTTACGTGGTAACAGGCTTGCGTACCACAGAGGGCTGGAAACATGCCTTTTTAGGTGCTTCCAGCAACCAACCACTTTTGCCATTTTGCCTCCCCTTCACTTCTAGCATAATTTTAAATAATAATATTTAGCATATATTTAGTGCTTGCTTTCTTCCAGTCTCCTTTTAAGAGAATTTACATGTATTGTCTCACCCAAATAACAATTCACAAGGTACCTAATATTATCATTCTGTATTCACTGATATGAAAAATGATATTTAGAGAAGTTTGGTAACTTGCTGAAGGTTACACAGCTAGTAGATGGTGAATCTACAATGTCTAGCTTCCAGTTATACTATGGCCGCAGCTGCCTCTAAGAACAATTCTTTTGCTCTACCACTGTGAGTTCTGTCCTTTCTCCTGTGTGCCTACGCTATTTCTTATGCAATTTCCCTCTCTCTTGCAGGTTAACAAGTAAGAGTACAATTTTAAAATATTGCATCCCACTCAGAGAGTTTGGACAGATCACTAGAATATATTGTGCTCCAAGTAGAGATATCTCCTTCCCCTAAGAGGGGCACACAAAGTGTAAACTCTTTCTTGTGATCAGGCCAATCCACAAATATTTGTGAGGGTAGGAAACCCAAGTCATCCAACAATCAAGCAGAGAGTTCAATTGTAATAGACACAGTGAAATATGATACGTTATAATTATGACAAGAGGCACTGCAAGATCCCAAACTACCTCCTCAGTTATTAGTCTTGCTACTTCAGTTCAGTTCAGTTCAGTTCAGTCACTCAGTCATGTCTGACTCTTTGCTACTCCATGAATTNGTCTTGCTACTTACCAGGGCACTAATAATACACATGTATTAATATAGTTCTGGTTCCAGGGACATGGTAGATTGAGCTGACTAATGTGTAATGTTCTCTTAATGCAGTTATACAGAAATGTTGAATAAAGTAGAGTTCAAAACTTTTGTATCACAGCAGAGCTCAGAAAAGGAAAATTGCCACGTGCCAGGGATGAAGCGCGAACCCCGTCAGACCTGTGCATAGCTGACTGACTGCTTTCTTAAGAGCCTTGATGCAGAGGCCCCGGCTCTCTGTGTCTTATGGCTCTGCCATCTTTACCATGTAACTTTCAAAGTCACTGTGCTTATTTTCACTAAGCTGATGAAGGGTAAGGGCGCAGAGGATAGCCTGTTGGAAAGTATTATGGATCAGACCTAGAAATAGCCTATAGTACTTCCACTAAACTTCTGGTGAACTCACTTCACAGTGGCTGGGAATGTATGCTGGATTGTACCAGGAGGAGGAACTGTGTTTGGAGATTAGTGTATTGTATAATGTAATATAAGAATGTTGTAATGTAAGGTTATTGTAAGCCAAATAACCTTACCTTCTAAACATTCTGGATAAATAGAAGTTGGAAAAAAAAGTGCAAACTCTAAGCCTCAGTTGCTTACATTTTGATAAAGAACAGATTGAGAAACTTTTAAATAAATTAATGGCTGAAAGTCTTTGTCTCTGGGTACATTCTCTTTTTACATTATGCTCAGAGCTGTAAATGGATTCCATCTCTTCCAACAGGTGAAGCTTGATATCCAAGTTTATAGCAAAAGAGGATGCTTTACTTTTCCATTAATGGCTAATAAGTATATTTCTGGATTCAGGAAAACATGTTTTCCTTTCACTACTCAAAATTGGCATGTATTTGTTGCCTTCCTTAGAAAGCTATGAGTGCATATAAATCAGGAGGTTGAAATATCTGCACGCTTTAGAGATAACTGAGTTCAAGAGCCAAGGCCAAATTATAGATGTATTCAATCGGATGAAGACATCAGTTTTTACATTTCTGAGCATATTTGCTTTGTAGTCATTCAAATAAGAATTTAGTTTTGCACATAGCTAGAACGTCGACTTGATTTTTCTTCGTTTGCGCTCACAGCCACGCCCAACTCCACTCACTAGTCTCTGCGGCAGCTTGCTCTAAGTGGCTGCCTGTGAGCATTCCAAGTACAACTTGGTAGAATCCGTAAGAGGATGGGTAAGTATTGTCTTTGGCCTGCCACAAGCAGGTGGTTTAAGAGCTATCGCTACTCTTTAATTGTGCCTAGATATGTTATTAGAGTAGGACAAAGCCTAGGAAACTGGAAATCATATTGGAAAGGTTTGAGATACAGAGGCAAAGTTGGGGGAGGGGTCAGCATCTTACAGAAGTGTTAGTGATATACCTGGTTTGAATCTCCATAGTCTTCTCTTCGTACTTTGGGAGTAAAGCCATTGGATGGGGCTTCAGAGTGGCTCAGATCTGAGAACAAACACTGACCCATCATTCTCCACACTTGGCTCTGACTCAACCATCTGAGGGGACTTGGGGATCCCAGGCAAGGGAACGTGTCAGACTCTTTCATGATTCCATTTCTGTCTTTGTCAGAAGCTTTACGGAGGATTTTTCTCAAGACCACAGCTGCAGAGGGGTTGTTTCAGGTCAGTGAGAAAGAGGGATCCACTCCTTGGAGTAAGACTAAATAAAACTGTGAAGTCAAAAAGGTTACAGTTTTCACAGCGATCCCTGAGAAGACTCAGGGAATTCAGGGCCACTGAACTACTGGCAGCAACATGTGGTGTGGACCTGACCTGGGATTCCCTTACAGCTGGAGCAGAGAACAAAAGACCACGAAAGAGCTGTCCTTTCTGAGATCTACAAGTGGGTGTCTGTGATTTTCCCTGTGTTTCTATTTAAATTTTCATCATTTGGTCTTTATGAATGGACAGATGTGAACCTGATCCTTGCTTTAACTTTTTCTGGAGCAACAGGTGAATAGATTGCATGTCTTTTCTGCTAAACCTTGAGACAGATTCAAAACTAACCTGGTGAGAAGAGAAGGAACTAGCAGAACCCTCAGCCAGTGTGAATCCTCCACTTGGCATCTGGACTGGAAACTGCTCTCAACCACACTGTCTGTACTGTCAATCCACAGGCCTTTCCCCCTGATTTCTGCCTTTATTTATGATTTTGCCCAGTGCTTCTTCAGCATTCATGGACTTTTATTATGGTATTTGGCAAAGTTGCTTTTCACAGATGTGTTATTCTAAACATAAGTTTTCTCTTAAGCTATCTAGGAAATAGGTTTTTCCATGAACTGAACTGCAGGTCTAGAGCCATCTTTTTGGTTGTGTTAGATGGATGGGTCTCCCCTGCACCTGGAATTACTTTGCCCTTGCAGGTACCCTTGTCTTTTGTTTGTAGTGGAATATGAAAAATTGCAACACAGAGGCCTGGAAAGATTGTGGGTTCCTGATGACTCTGTAAAGTGAACCCATCAGCCCTAGACCTTTGTACTTCTTTTGTGTGTGAGAGAAATAAGATACATCTATATTGTTTAAGTTACTGTCATTTTAAGATTTTCTGTTATACACTGCTGGTCCTAAGCTTAACTCAGAAACATCTCCCATCCACTTAATACCATTGATTCAGGGATCCATGGACAAGTATAATAGTAATTTTAATAATAATTATAATAATACTTTTCAGTCTATGACTTTAAGGATAAAATGGCAAAAGTGTCATGACTCCAATTTTAAGAGTAAATTGTACAGCAATTTCTAACAGTCAGGAAAAAGTAGACCTCAGAACCATCACCCTTATTTTCTTTCTTGCCCTTTCTATCAAGTGTAGGATTATTAAAGTCATAACCCAAGAGAAAGGCCCATGGCTACATAGGCTCTGTGGCTTTACATCCTTCGTTTCCATCTTACACCATCCTCCTTCTCTTCTTAGCACATGTGAAATTAAATTGTTTGCTACTCAGTCAGGATTAGAGAATGTTTGCAAAGTTTGTTTCCTGGGCTTGGAAGTGAATTAATGATTTTGTTCATAATTAATGGGTTCTAGAAAGGAATATTTGTTCAAATAAGAAATCAATCCATGAAACAAAATGCCAAAAGTTTATTATAACAGATTCAAATTTTATTATAAGAATGACATCTGAGCCCTTCCTTGTTCTTCAACCACATACAACAAATTTTAAACTTTGTTCTTAGTTATGGTTGTTTGAATTGAGAATATTAAAGTCACCAGCATGTCAACATTCAGAAAACTAAGATCATGGCTTCTGGTCCCATCACTTCATGGCAGATAGATGGGGAAACAACGGAAACGGTGGCAGACTTTCTTTTCCTGGGCTCCAAAATCACTGCAGATGGTGACTGCAGCCATGAAATTAAAAGACACTTGATCCTTGGAAGAAAAGCTATGACCAACCTAGACAGTGTATTAAAAAGCAGGGACATTACTTTGCCAACAAAGGTCCATCTAGTCAAAGCTGTGGTTTTGCCAGTAGTCATGTATGGATGTGAGAGTTGGACCATAAAGAAAGCTGATGTTTTTGAACTATCATGTTGAAGAAGACTTGAGAGTCCCTTGGACTGCAAGGAGATCCAACCAGTCCATCCTAAAGGAAGTCAGTCCTGAATAGTCATTGGAAGGACTGATGCTGAAGCTGAAACTCCAAAACTTTGGCCACCTGATGCAAAGAACTGACTCATTGGAAAAGACCCTGATGCTGGGAAGATTGAAGGCAGGAGGAGAAGGGGACAACAGAAGATGAGAGAATTGGGTGGCATCACCGACTCGATGGACATGAGTTTGAGCAAGTTCTGGGGATTGGTGATGGACAGGGAAGCCTGGTGTGCCTCAGTCCATGGGGTTACAAAGAATCAACACGACTGAGCCGCTGAACTGAACTGAACAGCATGTCAGAAAGGAAAAGACAGAGAACAGAGGCTATTTCACCTTTTCAGAAAGGTGAATAAATAAGGAGTCATATGTTCACTTAA